ACATAAACTAAACCTGCACAGCTATTTGCCAGTACCAGCAGCAGAAAAATCCATTAAAAACCCACTACTGTGATGTTTCACTTGGTTTTGAAGATGTGAATGACCTGTGACAGAGACCAGGAATAAGCTGAATGTATATTGCTATTCTTGTGCCACAGCAGAATGTTAAATACAAAGAGGAATCTGCCCTTCTAGACCTCATTCACTGCTGCACTATGGTTCTTCTACATTATTGGCAATGTAAAAAAAAAACTTAAAGGACATAAAAATTCTATTTGCATGCTGCCTATGCTCTGATTCTCTAATACAACAATACACACTGTATAGACAACTGTGTTTTACGTGACTGGCAAGATCCTAAGAGATGACTTTTCCCCATCTTTTCTTAGAAATGCAAACAAATTAACAAATGCAGAGCTAATTTGGTGCCAGAAGAGCATAGTGAAGACTGCTCCTCAACAGCTGAACTGTCTTTTCGTACTAAATTCTCAGCATCTTTCTTCTTCCAAAATTAGTCATGAATAAAAGAATTTGAGAAGTAATAATACAAAGACAAACGCTGTATACTACAGAGCATTCATGAAAAACCTGCTGGTCTCTTAGACCAGAATTACTGCGATCCTTCGAAAATGATTTCTTTAACAGTGGACTGAGAAAACTGACATGTCTGTGCTGGATGTAATTAGTCATGTTTCTCAGTGCACTAGTGCTGTCGTCATTTTTTCTAATATTTTGTGACTATCAAGCAAACAGGGATCACAACTATTAAGTCCTTCCTATCTTCTGGAGAAACGATCAGGGCTATTTGCAAGTTGAACCTGAGGACACAACCATTCTACACCTGAAATGAGAAGTGAGAAGGAGCTTCTGAACATTGCACAGCATGTTTCTATCATTTACTGCCATAAAATACACTACAAAGTTACCTAGGGCGCATTTTAATCTTTCCCGTATAACTGAGGTTTTTCCATCTGCCTAAACAGTAATTTACCCTTTAGGATTTACGGGCGTATTAAAAACAAACATGAAAAGCAAGAAATTTATTCTCCATTGTTTTGACCCTCCTGCAAAGGAAAAAGGTCTTCTTCGTAATAGGTGACACATTTGTCAGTTTGTAGAATATTAAACAGGTTTAATGGTTGGGAATAATCAAAACTTCTACCTCCCAGGGTTTTTTGGTGAAAAAAAAAAATGGAATAAGAGATTTTTCTATCGTTGTAAAGACAAACCTGTATCTGTGTCCCGAGGCAGAAATGCACTGGCAGTGGGATGTACCTGGGGATACAGGCTGAGCTGGAGCCCTTGGGATGAGGCTGCTCTCTTTCTGAAGGAAGAACACAACTGAAGTGGTTCCCTTTGCTAATCCTTGCTCACACTGCTCCCTGTGAAGGCTGAGGCACTCAGGCCAGGTTAAAAGATAAACCTGTGTGCCCCACGAGTGTGTTTACAGGACTCGGTGCAGAGAACAGGGGTGTGTGTCTGTGGCAGGGCTGGTTGCTAATTGTTTGCTAAAACTTAAAAGCAAGATCAGGTTTTTCTCTAGTAGCTAAGTGCCAAAAGGTGCCGCTAATTCAGCAAATGCCTCAGCAAGATAAATGTCTAATCTCCAACAGGATTTAGGTACTTAACCAGATTATACTCTGTTAAAAAATTTACTGTCTATTCATCTGCACAGTTAGCACTTATTTAGCTTTAAAAGCCTTCCTCCAAGGGCACAGTTTGGAGCAAGAGCACACAGAATAATTCATAGAACCACAGACTCCTTAAGGTTGGAGAAGACCTCTGAGATCATTGAGACCAACAATTAACCCAGGACCATCATGTTCACCACTCAACCATGTCCCCAGGTGCCACATCCACATGCCTTTTGAACACTTCCAGGGATGGTGACTCCACCACTGCCCTAGCCAGCCTGTTCCAACGTCTGACCACAGACATCTAGCTTTTCCCACTGGGATTTTTTTCAGTCCTGTATGTTCACTGCTGGGGTCATCAACCTGCACTAGAAATTTGAATGCTGTTACTTTTCTGTACCTGGAACAAACCAGCACCTTCTCTTCAGTATGGGAGTGCAATGGGGGCCGGGGGGAAAGGCATGGTGGGTTCACCTGAAATGCCTCAGAGAGAAGAACACTGAATAATGTGTCTGGTGGAGATTCTTGAATTCCCAGATCACTTACACTGGTGCAAAGTGATTTACACACAGTCCTGCTCCTCCATCAAAAGGCAATGATCTCTTTACCCATTTCCTCTTAACGACTTCTTTGAAAACAGTCTTGAACTTGAACTTGTCTGCCCAAGTAGGCTGAAATGGAATAATTTTATAGTTTGGGGGGAAATTTGAGATTTACTTCGCTCAAAAAGCAAAACGCTGCAGGAAATTTGTCTACCAATTATTCTAAAAACAATGTGAAATTATGCTGAATAGAAAGAACGAACACCTGCAACAACAATTGACACCCCAGAAAATAACCAAAGTCAATTTTGGATTCTTGTCTTAGACAACTAGAGATTTGACTTTTATTTTTGTCAACATTAAGATATAAAAATCTTCTCCATCCAATCCAATCCAATCCAATCCAATCCAATCCAATCCAATCCAATCCAATCCAATCCAATCCAATCCAATCCAATCCAATCCCATTTAATGTTAAGACAAAAAGCTTCAGTGGAACAAGATGATCTGCTTTTAAAAGTCTGCTGTTTCTCTCTGCAGAACTCTCTTTCACGAAACCAAACTCGCTTCTATTTTCCTTCCTGTCCCCACAAAAATTCTCTCAGTCTGATGCTCTTCAATCATGATTAAAAAACATTTCTCAGCATCTCCCTGGCAAATGTTCCTACTCATTTTTTCAGAATCTGGCAGGATGTTTGTATCTTGCTTGAGGTTTTGTATTGCACTAATTATCATGATAAGACGGCCTAATTAACATGATAAGAAAACCACAACCATCCTGCAGGATGCATCAGGTTTTTGTGAACAACTAGGTAGGATGATGGGGTTCAGTATTTGGTTTCACAACCTCATTCATTCTGCCCCAGCCCACCAGTATTCTACCTGGAAACAGCACAGACTTTAGTTGGCAACACAGAGCATATTTGCTATAATTTATAGGCTGGAACTGTCATGAGTGTGTCACAAAACATGGAATTTGTCCATATGCTTGGAATTAAGTCAAATATGCCTAAAAAAAAAAAAGAATAAAAACTGTCAAGCAAGATTAAAAATTTGTTACTCTAAAATAAAAAATCTTCAGGACTGTTCAGCGCCACATTTCAAATACAGTGAAGTCCTTCAGACTTGCTCTTGCTGAATGTGAATACGAGATAAGGGTGGCCACAGGCTCACACTTGGATGCCAGCAGTGACCTGACATCAGGATCAGCAGTGATCTACACACAGCAGTGCCAGGGGTAGCCTGGCTGCTGAGGGGTGCACGTGAGAGCAGCATCTGTGGCTGTCAGGTCAATGAAAAAGCAGAAGTGGTCTTTCTGGCCCTTCTTAGACTCAATGAACACTGACCCTATTACCTGTATTACCCTCTTCCAGATTAATGTTTCACTACTTTTTCGTGTCCCTAAAGCACTCATGGTGTTCCCTAACACTGTCACAGCCCGAGTTAAAAGCACAACCTGGCACGACACCGGCGAGCCTTGCTGACACTTGGCTGGATTAGCCCAGTAAGGGCAGTAAGTGGCCAAGTACTGAACCCCAAAAGCTTGAGGTTCTGGCTCCAGCTCATTGCAGCAAAGGGACTGGCACTCAGGAAACACAACAGACCAAAGGGATGAAAGAAAATGTACATCTTTCACTTCTTGGCTATTGTACTTTGGATGACACGAGCAGCCATTCAGGGAGGTGGAATGTTATCATATCGTGTTGGGTCAGTGCATAAAACGAAGCGTTGAATTTGGGGAAGGCAGTGAAAAGAGGAATGTAGCAGGTTCTTCTGCTACCCACATCACCCTCCAAGACACAGAGGAATGTGAGGGACATTGCAATTCAGTTCCTCAACCAAGCAGCTCAATTCCTCCTTCAGATAACCTGGAATATCACTGGCCAACAGTCATATATCATCTACTAAATTCTGTCTGGGTTTGGAAAGAGAAAGAAAATCCATAGCCAACTAATGAAACTGTGGTCAGCATTCTTCTGGAGTTCATGGCTTTTATTAAATCAACTTATAAATCTCTGGATTTGCAGGGCTTCTGAAAGGCTCTGTGTCCTTTAGCTGAAGTATGGCTTTCCTCTCTGGAACTACAGAAAGGAGTTTGAATTTCTGGGAATTGCTTCTCAGTTCCTAAAACACAGATGGATCAAGGACCAAGAATCAACCTGAGGTGTCACGAGTGTGAAGAAGTATTTGCATGATGTGATCCTTTTCTGAGCATCACACAAGCATTTTCACCCAATAAAACTGCTGGTAACATGGAGACCTGAGACAGTAGCAGTGCTCCAGATCTCTCCTGCTCTCTTTAGCTGCTCTCCTTTCTCTGACCCTTATGAATTAATGTTGAATGGGTGCTTAGAGGTGTTTGGTGGCTGCAGGAAGTGAATTGTGTATTACACTATTTCCTGCAGCCAATGAGGAATCCAAGGAGTCAACCTTTATGAGCTAGGCAACCCCTTCTAGCTTTGGGTTCCTGCACAAAAGCAGCAACTGGGGAAAGCTTTTAGAGACAGATCTGGAAATGTCTGAAGGCTGTTCTTTGCAGGGGGTGGGTTACAATGAAATGGGATTCAAGTAGCTTTGAAACAGAAATTGTTGGTACTGTAGAAGCCATAGCCCACTGCAGCAAATTCGAGTCCTGTTGCCCTCAACTGTCATCAAATCCACCTTGTCACCAAGGTGCACTGAGCCTGCTGGTTTGTGATCGACCCAGGTGCACAGGGTTCTCTGCTCCATGCAGCATCACACCTGAGAGCCAGAAACACTGAATAAACCCACAGTGAGTAATGAATTGTTTTACCCAATACCTTCACGTTCAGACGGCTCTTACCTCTTTCTGGTGGTACTTTATTGCTACCTTTAGCTTTGCCAAATCATGACATTTTTGGGGGTCCAGCTCTTCACTTTGATCATCTCTGTGATTGAGAATGATCTCCAGTTCTCGGGAGCTCCGTGCTTGATCCAAAAGGTCCTTGGCAAAACGCTTGCATTGCTGTGAAAGTTCTTCATATTCAGCCTTGAATTCATTTTCCACTTTGCTCAACTCCTTCAGCTCCCAGCCCAGTCGGAAGGCTGTCAAAATGGGATCCTCACTTGATAAGGCAATCAATGAAGGGCTGGCTAAGGCTTTGTAGATGTTCAGCCTTGACCTGGAATGCCTCAGGCTGTCCACCTCCGAACTGGAGACACATTCCACACAGTTGCATCTGATCTGGTGTGGGCGTGGAATCGTTACCCGTCTTTGGACAAGCAGTTTGATGATTTCGTAGTTGTTGGTGTGAGCCGCCAGCATGATCGGCGTGATGTCTGGAGTGAACTCTGAAAACTGGGTGTCCATCATCAAGGTTGGAACCTGTATGAAGGGATAAACCATAAAGGGATGAAGTCATATCTCACGTGGAACAGCAGAAATCAGATGTCCCTCTTTCATACTTTTGAAGTGATGCCATAACAAAACAGAGTTTTTATAACACCCTCTGTTCTTTAAATCCTGCTATAGCCATGGACACACACACACACACTCCTATTCTGGCAAAACCATCTTCCCCCAAATCAAGCCAGTCTGCCTCCTAATCAGGAACCTGTGACCATTCAGCTTCCAGTCTGAAAAGTCAGTCCCATCCCCATCCAAATGCTTTACATGTAAACCTCATCTGAAATGGGTATTGGTTCATACACCAAAAGAAAAAAACAACGAAAGGATGAAAGAAAGGAAGACAAAAGGCACAGGTAATTGCACAAAAAGAAAATCTAGAAAAGAGTAAGCACTGAATAGCCTTCCATAGCTATCACTATTTGCACGATATATTCTGCATTGGCAGGCCAAGAACCTCCTGGTAGCAGGTCCTGCAAAAACCAAACACTGGTCTGCAGGTGGGCAAAGCTCTTCTTCTCTTTTCCCTACTGTTTTCATTTGAAAATACTTTTCAGCGTAAGGATACATCGCATAACTGCCCTCAGAATAGATTCATTGGGGTTTTTTTTAAATGGACTTGAAAAAAGTTAAATGTAAAATTAATGAGCCATAGTCCACTAGAAATAAGCCACTCCAGGCTGTGCATTCCAGCTACTATTGCACTTCCCAAAAGATGAGCTTAATGCACACCCTGTTGTGTCTTATTACTGTATGCAGAGAGCTAAATTAGATGGAAATGCTCTTACATCCCAAGCACACAGTGTTTCCATTTGCAGCACAGGCAGCTCTCTTTGTTGTGTGTTAATCACCACTCAAACACACCCTCCTCTCTGTGCCCACCACTCCTGCCCTGGCACTTGGCATCCTGCTGCTGGAGGGAGGAATGCTGCTTTTGGTGAACAGTAGGTCTGGTTCACCTTGCAAATGTCAAAGGTGCTTGAGACAACTGTTGTCAAAGAGTCGTAACGACAGGAAATATTAGTCTGTATAAATCCTAAAGTATAGGTGTGATGAAGTATCATGAGGTAAGTGATTAAAAATCCTTCCACAGGATACCCCCAAGGCTGATTATGAGACAGTGAATCTCCAGCCATGGAATGTCAGTTCCCTGGGACTGAAAGGCCTCTATAGCACAAAAGAGCTAAAGTTCATCAGTAAACCTCTACAGATGCAACAGTGGGACAGAGCCTGTTCACAACACACAACACGATCCCAAATGTGATCAACACATCAAGATGTAGGGCTAGTGACTGAAGCAGGGCTCACTGGGGGGCTAGAGAGATTTTGGGGAATAAATTTGCTCCCCTAAATGTGGCACATGAGGAGTTAAATCCCTGGCAGCCTACAGACACACAGGCAGAGGGATTTTGGGGAATAAATTTGCTCCCCTAAATGTGGCATGTGAGGAGTTAAATCCCTGGCAGCCTACAGACACACAGGCAGAGG